ACATTGGGCTTCTCATCAAACATCAACTCATAAGGAGACTTCATGTTGATTGGACTAAGCGGCACCCTGTTGATCACATAAGCTGCACATTTCATTCCTTCTGCCCATAATTCTTTTGGTAGATTTTTTGCATGTAACCAGCTTCTACAAGTTTCCGCAAGATGTCTAATTTTCCTCTCCGCCACTCCATTTTGCTGTGGAGTGTAAGCACAAGAGAGTTCCCTTCTTATCCCTTCACTACAACAAAAGGAATTAAAAGCATTAGAAGTAAATTCACCTCCATTGTCAGTTCGAAGCCGTTTGATTTTCCTTCCAAGAGCTCGTTCAATAGTTTCCTTGAACTCTTGAAATTTGAGGAAAACTTCTGATTTCTCCTTCACAAAATAAACCCAAGTGAATCTTGTAAAATCATCAACAAATATCAACATATAGCGAAAACCAGAATAAGAAGGAGTGGGAGTTGGCCCAAACAAGTCACTATGAATGCAATCCAATGGAGCTTTGCACCTAGAAAAAGACTTCTCAAATGGAAGCCTATAAGCCTTGCCATATTGACAACCTTCACAACTTCCACCATCACCAAAACTGGTTAGGTTTGGCAGCCCTTTGACTAATTCTTTCTGCACCATAACTCTCAATTTATTCATGTTAAGATGCCCAAGACGAGCATGCCATATAGAAGCATTGTCATGGCCACTTAGCTTCTCAACAAAGGATGTTGAGATTGATAAAACATACACATCATCAGTTCTTTTACCAACATGAACAACATCAGCTTTTAATTCTTCAATATTTCGAAGAAATTTCACATCATTAGGGCCAAATAAAACATAATTCCCAGAGTCCACAGCATTTGTAACTGAGAAAAGATTTTTTGTCATACCTGGGACATGATACACATTAGTGAGTGTAATGGAATTTTCCTTGCATCCACCGAGAATAACTGTCCCTTCTTTTTCCACAGAGTGAACCGTGTTGTCAGCTGTGATAACTGCATCTTTGCCTTTATGAAGATGGAGACTTGAGAACTTGGAAGCATCACCAGTCACATGATGACCACAACCAGAATCTATGATCCAATCATTCTTAAAATCAATTGAAGTAGAATTGGATGCAATTTTGGCCATGAAACACTTTCCCCAGTCTTCTTCATTGCTTTGAGAAGAACCTTGTTTATCACCACCTTCAGCTTCAACCCAATTTCCTTGCATCAGCTTGACACGACAATTTTTCTTCACATGTCCAAGTTTACCACACCGATAGCATCTGAAGATTTTCTTCTTGAAATTTGAAGAATAAGAGGCACCAACTCCATATTCTGCACTATCTTTCTTTTCTTTTGAGTTGAAGATTTTCCCTTTCTCAGCTATAAGAACATTTTTATTGTCAACACCACCACCTTGATAAGTCACAGATAATCCTGCCATTTGCTTGGCCAAAGACTCTTGTGAGGACAAGAGATTTTCAAACTCTTCCAAGGATGGTTGTTGAGCCCACCCTTGAATTGAGGTGACATAAGGAATGTACTCTGGCTTTAACCCGCGAACAATATGCCGCTTCATACGAGCTTCAGAGATAGGCTCGTCTGGATCCAAAATTGAAATTTCTGAACATAAATTTTTAATTTTCAGAAAGAATTGAGCCATAGAGAGGTCCCCTTGACAGGCATTAGATAGTTGATTCTCCAAGAACTGCAGCCGAGCCACATCTTTCTTGTTGAATAACCTGTCTAGTGTTTGCCAAATTTCATTGGCAGATTTGCAACGAATTATGTGCTCAAACATTCCATGAGAAATAGACCTCTTCAAGGCAAATTCTGCCTTAGCATTCCTTTGCCTCCATTGCTTAAAGGCCTCAGCATTTTCTTCATTATTTGCTGGAGCAGTAATGTCATTACCACCAACAACATCCCAAAGGTCCTCACCAACAAGATAAGATTCCATGCAAGTCTTCCATACATTATAATTGGACTAGTTCAATAATTCCATACCAAGTCCAACAACACGACCACTTGAATCCATTTTGGAACACCGGCTGATTTCCTTCACAAGAGATCTTGTCACAGAGCAATTGCTTATCTCTCTAGCTCTGATACCATGTAAACAAATCTTAGTGCAACCAAAGACACACTAACCCAAGATCAACAACCTTAGTGAAGAAAAACAAACCAAAGAACTTCAAAATTGGCTAAAAAGGAACAAGACTTGTATGACTGAATTTCTTTTGGTATATTAGAAAATAAGATGATGAAAATACATAAACACTGCTGAAATGAAAAGCAGTTACAAACTGTAAAAGAAACTGTCACACCACTAAAACAAAAGAAACTAATTGTAACTGACACAAACATATTTGATCTCACATGCTTACATAACTGAAAGATGAAGAGCTATTCATGAACAGTAACCCTTCTAGAAAATTACTTTACTAATTTTAACAAAATCAACAAATGGAATGAAGAGAAGCTGGCAATGAGATCCCTGTGCACCTAACAATTGCTTCTAGGACGGTATTATCAATGGCATGCATGTGGT